GAGACTAAGTCTTTCAAGGTCAGCTGCTCCTCAGGAAGCTTGCAGGTATCGAAGGAATAATCCATGCCGGGTAGCCGACGTGCTCTCAGGTATTCCCTTAAATTCCCCTTGGATGCATATTCCACAAGAACATAGAGAGGACCTGGAGAAAAACAATCCACGGTTGTTTGACACGCCCTCTCATCTCTCTCTAAGTGTCCTGGCAGCTCGCTACTCGTTTTAGGACTGGGGTGTTCTTTGGTTCAGTTTCTAGACGAGAGGACTTTCAGTTCACAACAGATGCATTAACGTTACGCTTGGGAGGAGGAGCTACCCCCTAACAACTTAGCAAGGTGACACAGGGTGGGTGAAGACGGACATGGTTCAATCTACAGACATCCAAGCTCAAGCTGGAAGAATCCGCCATCTTCCAGCCACTCCTCAGAAAGGAACTCCGATGTCCACGCCATGCCAGGAACTTCTAGGCAAATGGAGGTTTACTGACTAACCCAAGGCCTACTCTTCCCAGTTGCCCTGAGGAGGTCTCGTTTCAAAGCCACCTGCGCATTCGGCAGAGATGCCTTCTGGAACACCCACTAAGCTTCCAATTCAGGCAGGGGAAAATCTGAGCTCACGTGGAAATTTCCACCCATACAGGTCTACCTGTGAGGTTCCCTCAGACAGGTGTTTCTCCAGGTTAGAGTAATTTTGAAGAGGCAGAATTCACCTCCTTTGCTCTGAGTAGGACCTCAACAGGAGGAAGCAGAAAGCAAGGACGCCAAGGGATATCAAGAGGCCCAAAGAGGCCCCAGGGCTAAGCATACACCTGACTAACTTTACCCAAAGCTCCCCAGCCGTCTCGTTTTAGGAACGTACCATCCTGCGTGCAGGCCCCCAAGAGGTTGATGATGTTTTTGTGCTTCCCGATCATCTTCATCATTTCCATTTCTGAGACTAAGTCGGACAGATCTTTGTCTGTGGCGTCATCTGCAGAAGAGAGGAGAGAAGCAGCCATGAGGTGAAAGCATCTAATGGCGCCCTGATATTTTGGCTTGAGAGGTCAACAGCATCCCCATGCTTGGTCGTGCTTCTACCCTACTCCTGGTTTTAGGGATTGGAGACTCTTCCCTCCACCTTTCCTCCAATTCTGGATACCAAAGGATGTTTTCAAACATGCACACCTGATATTTTGCTGGTTCGTGTCCAGGCCAGGACAAGGGAACCATGGAGAAGTTCTCCAGAAGTGGGGCTCCTTCTGCTTCAAAGATGGAGGGGGAAGGGAAGTCCTACTTTTCTGGAATGGCCTTTCTAAGCCAACCCTCCCCACCCCCACTTCCTCTCTAGAACGGGAAGAGCAGCCATTGAAGAGCGGAGAGCTGGAATCCAAGATGAATTGGACACAACCCAGTATGTTGTCTTGGTACAGATAGTCCTTGACTTACGGCCACAATTGAGGTCACCATTTCTGTGGCTAAGCAAGATGGTTGTTATCTGATTTGTGCCCCTTTTTATTACTCTTATTGACACAGTTGTTCAACGAATCACTGCAGCTATGTGGTCGTTAAGCGAATCTGGGCTTCCCCCGTTGACTTTGCTTGAATGAATCCAGTTGGGAAGGTCACGACCCTGGAACAGCAGAATTGTCAGAACTATGAAGCAGTTGCCAAGTGGCCCAATTTGCATCACGTGATCACGGGGACGCTGCAATAATCGTAAGTATGAAAAAGGGTCACAAGTCACTTTTTCCAGGACTGCTGCAACTCTGAACTGTCACTAAATGAATGGCTGTAAGTCAAGGACTACCTGTATAAAGGACAAGGAAGAGACCCCTAAAAGAGGTGACCTACAGCAGAAGTCAGTCCATGGAGGGGAAGCTCGGGAGGAGAACGAAACCAGGATTAGAAATCAAAAGTGCAAAGAGGCGAAGGGCTGTGGCCTATCGACCGCTGGAGCCTCCAGCAGCCGAATCAGAGGAGACGGAGGAAGCGTGGGAGTTCAGGGCCAGCATCGAGGCTACCTGAGAGCTCCGAGGGGGAAGAGGGAATGGAGCCGGCAGAGAGACGAAGTCAGAGGTGGAGCCTGGGCCATCCATCAGCCCTCAGATGGAGAGTCAACCGTGCCCAGGTCTGGAGGTGGCTGATGAGGAAGAGGAGGAACAGCTGGGCCCAGTGCCTGACATGTGGATGCACAGAAGGCAGAGGAGAGGAGAGCAGTGGAAATCTATGGGCCAGTCCTTGGGATGGAAAAGCCACCACTGCTAGCAACGCCCCACCCTAGCTCTGGGGATAAAAGGCAGTGGGGGGCAGAGATGAATCGGGGTGGCAGACAACTATTCATCTCCCTGCTGGACAGACTTGTTAGCCTGCGAGGGAAACTTTTTGCCGGGGCTGCCGGCGCTCCTCATGAAAGGAATCTTTTGCGTTAACTTCAGAGGGTTTGTCGTGTTTGGGGAGCTGGCTCATGAAAACACCTGCATCTCCTGGCATCCGGGGCCTTCAGTACCTTTCAGCATCTTGACGGCTACAGTAACAGGCTTGCTTGGTTTTTCCTTGTCGACCCCCATGGCTTCGGCCATCACCACTTGACCGAAGCAGCCTTCGCCCAACGGCTTCCCGAGAGTCAAGCTGAAAAGCAAAGCGGTGTGGGTGAGACAGAGACAGCGGAAGAACGAGAAAGCTGGCCACCTCAAAGCTCTGCCTAGGCCTGGTTTCCTCACCGAGATCTCGCCAATTCCCACTTGGGATCTGCCGGCAGCTCCAGCTCGGACACGTTGGCCAGCATGGCGCCCTCGCTGGAGGAGAGGCGGGTGATCCTCACCAGAGGAGTGTTGGAGTTCATGGATGAGTTGGACTCCAAAGACACCTGCTTGAGTAGAACAAATGGGCGGTTACTGGCAACAGCCTCTCGCAGGAGGCGTAGCCCGAGGGGCAGAGGGGAGGGAGGGGAGCCTTCCTGAGCCGCAGCGTGATTCAGAATGGTTATAAACCTTGATGGAAAGCCACCGAGGGCCTCCGTTGCTTTTTAAAAATGCTTTTGGGTTTAATGGTCTAACTTCTAATTCCCAGGAGTTAGCGATTCTGCTCCTTCGGAATTTAATCCGATGAAAGTAGCACATCTATTTATTTATTTTTTGCCTACTCCTGGAAAACAGTAATGATCCCTGGAGTAACTTGGTTGCAGTATAGAGCAGTACTAGTAGAACACTTCCTGTGATCTTGAGACAGCCTTGAACCATGTTGGCTTATATTGGGGGCTTTTAGTCTGGAGAAACAGCAGCTGAGGGGGACAGGCATGAGATGGAAAAAATGAATAGGGAAACATTCATTCTCGCTCTCTCTTTCCCTTTATCTCTTTCTCTCTTTTCTCTCTCTCTCTCCCTCTTTCTCTCTTCTTTACCTTTCTCTCTCTCTCTTTCTCTTTCTCTCTTTCCCTTTATCTATTTCTTTTTCTCTCTCCTTCTTTCTCTCTCCCTCTTTCTTTACCCCTCTCTTTCTTTTTATCTCTTTCTCTTTTTCCCTCTCCTTTCTCTCTCCCTCTTTTTTTATCTTTCTCTCTTTCTTTCTCTCTCTCTTTCCCTTTATCTATTTCTCTCTCTCTTTTCTCTCTCTCCCCCTTTCTCTCTTCTTTACCTTTCTCTCTCTCTCTCTCTCTCTTTCTCTCTCTTTCCCATTATCTATTTATCTTTTTCTCTCTCCTTCTTTCTCTCTCCCTCTTTCTTTACCCCCTCTCTCTCTTTCTCTCTATCTCTTTCTTTTTATCTCTTTCTTTTTCTCTCTCCTTTCTCTCTCCCTCTTTCTTTCTCTCTCTCTCTTTCCCTTTATCTCTTTCTCTCTCTCTTTTCTCTCTCTCTCCCTCTTTCTCTCTCAACATTAGGATCGTTCAATGAAAACTAACTGAAAGCAATATTATAGGAGGTGAAAGAAAGGACTTCTTGAGACAATACTTCTTTACAAGGGAAGGCAATGCAGTATACATGTCCCAGGATAAGGTTGCAGGATCCAATCTCTGTTGGTCCCCAGAACCAACAGAACTCTTCCGAGCTTTTGGACTCATGCTGGAGCCCATCCTCAGAGAGAAGCTCTCAAGGAAAAGAGAGAAGGTGGGCTGCAGCATGAGTCCTGAAAGATTGGAAGACTAAACCTCTGTTCCCATGACCAAGTCAAATTGGGTCCTGTAATAATTAAGTTGTGGAATTGATCACAAGATATGACGATGGCCCCTAAGTTAGATGAAATTCAAGGTGGGCACGTATATTAGTTGGTTGATGATTCTGAAGACTCTATATGTCATTCAGAGTCCCAGGTTCATCTGGCTGACTCCTGTGAGGAAAATAATCCTTGGCTTGATCCAGAAGGCCTGTCCTTATCATCTCAGTGCTTCCCACTTCTTCCCCAGAACCCAGGAAGCACTAAGTGCAGTGGTGGGATTCAGCCGGTTCACACCGGTTCAATTGAACTGGTTGCTAACTTTCTGAACAGTTTGGTGAACTGGTTGTTGGAAGAAATCATGAGGGCAGAGAACCGGTTGTGAAATGATTTGAATCCCACCACTGACTAAGTATGTTTAAAAAATAGCCCTGATGTAGTCTCTTCCTAGCATGCTCGTCCAAGAGAAAGCCTCCATGTGAATTATGCACCGCATCGATAAAAACAGGCTCCTTTTGAGCCTTTTCGTACTGTAAAGAGAAGCATTATGGGAAGCGGGATTGTGGTCTAAGTCCATTTGACATCCCATGTTAATGTAACATCATGGAGAATTCAACAGACAGTTAAGATCTGGAAACCAGAATGTTGTACAACTTTAAGGCCATTCTTTAAACCAGGGGTAGGTAATCATGGTCCCTGGAAACAGCCAAGATAGAATAAATCCATATTCTCCATCAAATGACAAGGTCAACCTGCTGAAGTCCTTCCCTACAGTATAAAACAGAGCTAAAACCAAGCTGGCTGAGGAATTCTGGGAGTGGAAGCCTTCAAGTTGCCAGGTTTGGGGACCCCTCATCTAACAAATCAGGAGGACGCCGGGAGGACATCGGAATAGAGGGGAACAGAGATCTTGTATCTACTTTCTGTTACCTGTCTCTTGAGGGGGAACTTGGAGACTTTCTGAACTGCGGTGGCATTCATGGATTTTTTGGGTGGCCTTTTGATTTTATAAATCATCACCATCACAGCCACCAGGATGGAAAGAGCGAAGGCAATCCCGTAGCTGAGGATGCCTGCGTAAAACGAGCTGGAATCCTGTCTCGCAACCCGTTTTTCTGCTGGAGGAGGAGAGAGACACGTTAGGAACCCAGAAAAATGGCAGCCTAGCCATCTTCTGATACATTTCAATGAAGACCATCACCCCCAATAAGAAATGCTTATGGCACAGCACTAAAGGGCTGTCATCTCCAAATTCCTTTAAATTTGGGGATTGACCTTGGTGTAGAAGCAGTGGTGGGATTCAAATAATTTAACGTCCGGTTCTCTGCCCTAATAATTTCGTCCAAAAACCAGTTCACCAAACAGCTGAGAAAATTAACAACCAGTTCTCTCAAACCGGTGCGATCCGGCTGAATCCCACCACTGCGTAGAAGAGTTTTCAACAAATGAGATATGAAGGTGTCTCTTCTGAAAATCTAACAGCTTTTTCCGCTAGATCCTTTATTTTGGAGCAGCCGTTTAACTACTGAAACAACATGCGTGTTGACATTCAGGCGTAATTAACACGCACAGGAATGCCAAGTGGACATGTGTGAAAAGAATAACGCTGAAGTGCAAAATTGTAGTTTGTGTTGCAGCACTGAACAAGAAACAGTCTCGCATTTCTGAGATGAGCTGGCAGCCAACAGACTTGGTGGAGTTGGGGCTGAGAACGGCATTGTTTAATTTGGGGTTGTGTGATTCACTGGCGCAAATCGTGAAAGCTCCTCCCTGCCAAGAGACACCCCAAGGCAGAAGAAGGGGTGGCGGGATGGGGGTGAGCCAGCAAGGCCCTTCCGCAGGTCCACCTTGTGAGAAATGGAGCAGGGAAGCGGAGAGCCACAAGTGATTCACAGGGCTTCCCAGAAGAAGCCTTGTGTTCTCCAAATTAAATGTGGGCGCAATTTAGCCAGTGAAAGTTGGAATCCAGTAATAGGAAACCACTCCACACATAGTGAGCATTCAGCATTCAGCAACGCCCCAGCTTAAAAGTGGTGTGAAACAAAGACTTTTGAACTTCTTGGAGCACCCCACCCCCCGGGAGAGACCCCAAAGTCACTGAATCCGTGGCAGCCTCTTTCTTCTCACTCTTGTAGCTGTCTAACCATCAGTGCTGCATCCACAACAGTTCTGAAAGGGGCACCTCCAGGGTTCCCCCAGCTGGAGAAAGGCTAATCATTCACGCTTACTCCAGAGTAGAACTGTGTCATTTGATCGCCACTTAAATAATGAGTTGCATGAAATGAAACGGGGCTGTCCTGAAACGCAAGACGCATCTCCCGCTGAAGAGCTGCACCTTGGTACAAAAGGGCTCCCGGGCCTTCAGAGGCCAAAGGGGGGGAAAGGAGACCAAGCAGAAATACCTGGTAAGACCGTCAGCCAAGCAGAGTGATGTGAATAACCAATAGAATTCCCCGCCAGGCAAGTATATTCCCCGGCATCTTCAAAAGTAACATTGTGCAAGGAGAGAATTTCTAGCTCTTTGTCCGTTTTGTTAACACCCGCTGTCTACAGAGGAAAGAACAAAACAAAAGAGAGAGAGAGAGAGAGAGAGAGGGAGGAAGGAAGGAGGGAAGGAAGAAGGAGAACAGGATAAGCAAAATTCCCAGAAAAGATCACCCAGACCAATTTCAAAAGCAGACGGCGATCGGAAGGGCCTCGGTGGCCTGTCCTGCTTCCCTCGCCGCAACCATGGTTGGCTTCCAAAGCAGCCAGCTCCCTTCACCAGCCTCTGACTCTGTCCCACTAAGGGTGCATGCAAGGCGAAGCGTCCGAAACGAAAAATTCCCTTCATACTATGACTGTCTCGGGAGGGAGGCGGAGGGAGGCGGAGAAGGGGACGAGAAGAGGCCGAGACAAGCAGGGAGGACTCAAGGCCAGCGGGTCAACGTGGCTTTAGGTGAGAAAAGCTTTTCATGGTTTAATTTGCAGAATTCATCCCGAGGTTGTTCTTTTTCCCACCCACCCATCCAGGAAACCCTGGCTTCTTCTCCCAGGAAGCTTTCAGTACATTTCCTGGCCCGTTTTTTGGGAGTGGGGTGGGGTGGGGGGGAAAGCACTGGAAACAAGGAAGGGCTTCCAAACGCCTGGCCTGGGTGGCGAAGGGTTCCAACGGGAGCACCTGCCAATCGCTCTGCCGAAAGGAGCTGGACGGATTGTGAAAAGAGGCGACGGAGAACTTGGTCAGACAAAGAGCCAGATAATATCACAACCGGGAGGAAGAGGACTTTCCAAGACAGTCATTCGTGTGGGAATTTTTCTGAGGGCACGATTCATAAAAGCGATTCATTATTCTAAAAGTTAGGAGGAGGGGAAAAAAAGGTCAGAGCCATCATCTCAAAGACCTAGAGGAGGAAGAGAGGGGCATAAGCACCCCGAGGAAGGGTAACGGCTAGCAGTTGGAAGCGTTGTTGTTGTTTTTTCCAGCTCGTTCGTGCAGCTGCGAAGCCTCTGGGACAGAGTTGAGGAATTACCTGCTTCTGGTTTGTGAATGTGGAGCCAAAATGATTTTTCGGCTCTGCCTATGAAATTGTTGGCTCTACAAAGATATTCGCCTTCGTCTTGTTTGGTCACATTGAATAGATTTAGGTTAACATCGGCTTCAGCGTTTTTACTGATCCAAGACTGCAGAACAGACAAAAACTTGAACTTCAGTACCCCAACAACCCCTCTCCATCACACGTTAGACAGGCGGGGCTGGCTAAGCTCTTACTCGGCTTGGCGTCCCCTTTTTTGGGTTGAACTTCCGTGTTGGAAGAGGTTGGCACCTTCTCTTGGTGCAGAAGTCCACCTTGAAGCCCTCAAGAGAGAGATGGTGCCTGGGTCCCCTGCTTGGACCTATCCAGGAGGAAGGGCCCACCTTCCCTCCAATGCCAGGGGTCTCACTACCGAAGGGGTTTTGCCCCTAAGAAAATTCCCCCAACTGGAATTTGCCTTTTGATCTCTTGGATCCATTTCCCCCCCTCCCCTCCAAAGTCTACACTCTAGCCCAAGGGAGAACTGTTGTCTTGAGGTTCTTCTTTGAGGGGTCCCATTAGATTAGACGTTTGAAGCTGGCTGCCCTAACCCCACCCCCATCTCCTCTTTCCGAGGCTTAGCAGGGCAACCCAACTCTTCAATCTCCTTCCACAGCCGTCCTTGTCTACCCTTCTCTTACTCTCACTGTCTTTCTCCCAACTGATCCCTGATCAATTCCTAGGCTGTAATCCAGAGGCATTCACTGCATGATCTATTAAAGCAGTTAGTGGATTAAAGAGTGAGCAACACTTATTCTTGCAAAATTTATCCTTGATAAGTAACAAGGGTAGAATTCAAGGTGCTCACAGACTTTATGGTCTGTTCAAGAGCCTCTTAAGTATCGATGCCAGGCAATCTACAGTCAAATGATCTATGAATCATCCTTTTCCCCTCTTTTCTTGAAGGTAAAGGACATTTTATATCCTCCAATGTCTACAATTTCTATATTCAGAGATCAAGTCACCCATGGACCAATGATGGAAAGGCATCCTATGGCTTTGCTAAGGAACTACATCCTATGGCTTTGCTAAGGAACTACAACCAGCGTTTTTTAGAAAGCAATCTCATCTCGTTGCTTGCGTGAAAATTTGGTCGTGAAAGATGAAGATCCTTTTGGGAAAGCTAAGGTATTGCAAAACAGCTGCCCCCACCTCTGCAGATAATCCTTATATTAATTCTGAGGGATGATTATCTTCCCTGTCATAAACCCTGACAACCAGTAACGTCTTGAGCTAAACAGGCTAACAGTTTCAGATTTACATCAAGCCTCTCCCAGAGACGCTTTTCTAAAAATCAACTGGACTTTCTTGTCTTTTTTCCTTGAAAACCTTTCGATTCTCCCCCAAGAAGCCTCTTCGATTCTTTCCACTGTCAAGGAGAAAAACCAAGAAAGTCCAGTTGACTTTTGGAAAAGAACCTCTGGGGACAACCGTGACCTGGATGATGGAGAATCTCTGTGGACATCAAGCTTTTCCCCCTTTGTGGCCCTCTCTCTCAGGCAGGGTCACATGGTCAGTTCCTGTGCAGGATTAAACCCTGGCTCTTCCAAGAAGAGATGTTCAGCAGATCTCAGGGTTAATCTGATAGCAGTTGTTATGAATGACGTCCTGTAAATATCTCCTCATTCTAGTAGATTCCAGCCTTAAAAGACTCGTCTGTAGCGGTGTGTACCAACCTTTAGGACAGAGACGTAAGGCGTCCCATCCGGCCCGTATTTGCTTCCGTTGACTTCCACATGTTTCAGCCACTGGATGTGAGGCTGAGCATCACTGTACACTTTGCAGTGGAATTCCACGTTGCTCCCAACCACCACCGTTTGATTGGCAGGCAGCCCTGCCTGGAGAATGGGGCGGTGTGGAGATCGTTCTGCAGAGACGAGAGGAAGCTAACTTATTATGGGCAATGAGTAAACCCCTCTACGCAACATTTGTCCAGTAAAAGCTCTCTGTCAGCACACCACGACCCTGCGGCTAACTGTTGCAAGAGGCCTATGGAACCACAATACCGAGGTGTGATATAATATTTGCCTGCATAAGCTGTTGCTCAATTCCCGTCGCTCCTGTGGAAGTGAAGAGGTGGACCGAAACCGGAATGAAAAACCACAAAGTACATGCTTGCCTTACTCAGTCTGGCTTCACAAATGGGCAACAAGGTTTGCTATCATCAGCTACCATCACTATACTAGGAGTAGAATAAACCGGATGTAGCAAACTCCTCTGAAGAAGCGTGGATGTAATTTTTGAAACACGTTTGGTGACACACCAATTTTCTCAGGGTTTCATCCGTTGGATTAAAATGTGGTATCTGAATTCATTGAACTGGAGTGACTCCAATTGGATTCATGTCTTCATCTATTTTGATCTCTCATATAATCCAACCAGGATGTTCTTCTCGTGTTGAATTGGGCCTTGGGAGTGTTGACCCGTTTTAGTTCATAGTCAAAGGGAATTTAGGATATAAAACTGGAGCTGCAGTGGAAGCTATGAAGCTATTATATGCAGACTTTGCCTACATTTTCCTCTCAATAAATTATCAGTTCAATAAACTGTAGTATATCTTAATATGTTTCCAGATCTAGAGCATCCGAGGAAACTTATAAGAAATCAACACTTTAAAAAAAATTATGAATCTTCTTAAAATGCTTGGAATATGTACTGTTTGTATCTTTAACGCTCTAAACAATATAAAGTTTATATTGATATAAACATCTTATATCGACTAATAAAAATAGTTCGAATAAATACGGCATCTAGATTGACGCATATAGTCAGAGTAAGCCCTACGTTAATTCCTCACTGATACTTAAAGAAAATCAATACAATATTGAGAAAGTTTTTATGGGACAGATATTTCTCATCCAGTTTTCTTTATCCGGGCAATTTTTTAAAAAAACATTCTTTATACAGAAATAATAATTTAAAGAAGGGGTTTACAGATCAAGAGGACTCTAACTGGGGACTACCACTATGTGTAGTTTTTAAAATTGTGTGTGCATTAATTTTTAGGTTATTTTTCTTTTGAGGTAGAGATATAGTATGCTACTTTTGTATTATTATTACCTGCCACCAGAAAAATCCTGCTTCCTCTAAATTCTGAAAACCTGAGACTGGAGGGAAATTAGAAAACTGGTTCTCAGACTCCTTCCATTCAGAAAATCTACTTTCCAACATTTTCTCCAACTTTAGAAGTGCAGTAGCCGAGAGGAATTCCTTCTTTCTTTAAGAGGATGCAGTTTGGGACAGGTGGGGAACAGCTGTCCATTCCGTGAATGCCAAGTGGCACCGCATGGATCTTGGACGCAAAGCTTAAAACAACACTTACCAAGAACATCAAGTTGGTACGTATGCCAGATTACACCGTATTTGTTCTGGACCACACAGGTATAGTTGCCTCGGTCTGACGGAACGACGCTCTCCATGACGAGGCTCCACTGCTGATGCCGTAGCTGAAAAAAGGGAAAGAAAGATGAGTAGAAGCTTGCCTGGGTCCTTCAGAAAGTGACTTCTTAGCGAGAACCTTCTTTTTCTGGAATCGAAATGTGAGGTGCATAAAAGTGGGTGTTGCTCGCTCTCCCGTATGCTCCAGAAACAGGGCTGGGACTAGATCTCCTTCCCCAGTTTTGGAATGAGAACCCAACAAGAGTTGATGTTCACAGTAATGGGTGGGAGACCATCACAGGGAGACCCCAAGTTAGAAGCAAGGAGAAATTTCCTGATGGTAAGAACAAGGACTTGCCTGACGGAGTTGTGGATGCTGCATCAAAAGTAGACTGGACAACCAATGGATCAGGAGGGTAAAAAGTCCCTTCTAGTCTTTTGATCCTATGTCCTAAAGTCATCAGTGTTGGGAAACCCTGATCTAGACGATGTCCCCTCATTGGCAGCGTAAAACTGTGCAGATACGCTACTGAATACCCAACAGAATCTTGACACATAACTTTCCATAATATCCATAATAACGCTGTGTGTTTTCTTGAATAATACAACCCAACTGGATGAAAGTGATGAAGTCAACTACCATACTTGGATTTAAGTTAGAAGTTGGATTTATGTCGGAAAACCTAATACTTATATTTAAGAAAGTTCACATTAACATATACCATATAACAAAAATCAATATCTATCTATCTATCTATCTATCTATCTATCTATCTATCTATCTATCTATCTATCTATCTATCTATCCATCCATCCATCCATCCATCCATCCATCCATCCATCTACTGTATCTATCTATCCATCCATCCATCCATTCATCCATCCATCCACTGTATCTATCTATCTATCTATCTATCTATCTATCTATCTATCTATCTATCTATCTATCTATCTATCATCTATCCATCCATCCATCCATCCATCCATCCATCCATCCATCCATCTACTCTATCTATCTATCTATCTATCTATCTATCTATCTATCTATCTATCT